CAGCAATGGCTAAAACAATACAGCAAGGCAAAGTTGTGGTTATCTCAGACTGGCAATGTTGGCTTAACATTTGGAGATCCATAATGCTAAAGGAGCAAGAAAAGAATGATTATCACAAAGATTCCAGAAAAAAAGGTGTACAATAGAATTCAATAACCAATCAAGATTAAACACCAACAAAAATAACTCTCAGCTAACCAGGAATAGAAAGATATTTCCTTAAAATGATAATTGGTATTTAAAAAAAACTACGACATATACCATACATAGTAGTGAGACATTAAAAGCATTCCATTTTAAATCAGAAGGGGCAAAGGTGATTCATGTAATCACTTCTGTTCAACATTTTACTGAGTCTCCTAGACATTGCAGTAAGCCACAATATATATACATTAATTAATACATGTATAAAAGTGAAAGGAAACAAAACTGAGTATAATTGCCTTCACATAAAATTCAAGAGAATCTACAGAAAATTGTAATAATAGAGACTAACCAGTTTATTGGCTGTAAGACTAATATACACAAAATAATTGCAACAAATAGAAAATAATATTTTCATTGTGAATATACCATTTACAATAGCAAAAAAAAATCCTATGGAATATACCACGAATTGGCTCACTTCGCAACTTTTCCAACACTCATAAACATTTTTGTATGTTTTCCTGTACTGTGGAGACTGGAAAGCTAAAAACAAGAATGCAGAGCTATGTTAGTGTTAGACCCCCTACTTGCGTCTAGAGTCCCAAACAGGATCTCTGTGTATTAAACATATGCATCATAGTGAAACTTGGAGGTAAAACTGAGTAATGTGAGAGCCACGTGCAGGACCAGCTACATATGGTGGGAGAGGTGTCTGGGTTTTATGGGCAGCTACCACAGAGTGCCTGGAATTCAGTCTCTGTCATACATATTGGTTAGCGTGTAGACAGCAATAGTATTTCAGCTGTAACAGTCCTGTAGCTTGAGTGGGCTTCTCCTGGCTTTGCAGCATCTAAGCATGCTTTTATGAACCTCACAGAGTTTTTGTAAGTGATATAATATGTTTTTATTAAGGATGCCTTATTTTAATGAAATAGCTAGAATAAATAGCTAACAGAGGCAAGTGGGGACTGTGATTAATAGAGTACTTGACAGAAAATTTGGCTGCAAGCCAGAGGCCCTGAAGGAAGTGGGGATCTGGGAAAAGTTATCTGGCCAAGGTGGATCTGAAGATAGCAAGGATCCAGCTGATATGGGGGCATGAAGTTTTGGTGTTCCATGGCACGCAATGGTGAAACAGTTGCAAGAGTCACCACCTGCGGTCATTTGAGTGGAAATGCCTTTGAAGTCAATGTAAGTCGGTGGACCATGCACCTGCTGTAGGGACTCAGAGGACACTCCCTTCCCCACAGCTTTGAGAAACATATTAGTGAGGAGGGCATCTTCATCTTGAAGTGTTCTGAGGTGGCTGACTTGTGTAGACCACAGATGAGATGGGAGATCCTGTCATTGACATGGTCACCCTCATTTCAGTGGGGATGTGGGGATTCTGGAGTTGCAGGCGCAGTAGGAGCACTTAAGCTCCTGTGTTAACCTGAATGCTGTTTACCTTAATAAGGAGCAAGTACAAAAGGGTTTGCACGTTGGTTTGATCTATACCAACCTTTGAAGGTGGCTAGTTGATCAACAGATCCTCTGGATCTTGAAATATCTGAACATCCTTTAAGGTTGCATTTGATCAGCATAAAAATGAATAATAGATAAATAAGTATTTATTCATAGTAAAATATAAGAACATAAAATATAAATAAGTAAATCTCTAGATCTGGTGACTTGAGCTATCTTGATGGCAACTGGTAATCCCTTACTCAGTTCCCACACTTGACCCAGAACACCTTTAATGAATGGACTACTGGGGAAGGACTGTACAATGAAGTCACAAGTAACTACAGTAAATCTTCCTAGACTTAGCCAAAGGGACCATCAGACATTTACCACAGTTACTGTACATTTGTTTTAAGGACACTTTCCTAAGCCAGAGCTCGATAAACTTCTGAAAAGGGCCAGATCACAAATATTTGAGGTTTTGTGGGCCATTAGGTCCCTGTTGTAACTATTCAACTCTGCTTTGTAGAGTGAAAGCCTTCATGGACACAGTATGGCTGTGGTCCAATAAAACTTTGTGTATGAACACTAACGTGGATTTCAAATAATCTTCACATGTCGAGAAATATTATTTTTCAACCATTCAAATATGTAAAAACCATTCTTAGCTTGCAAACTGTAGAAAAATAGGCCACAAGCCAGGTTTAGCCCATGGGCTGTAGTTTGCCAATCTCTGATTTAAGCTAATGAAATCACTGAGTCCCTAAAACAGCAGAGTGGAAAGCCAGCAAAATGAGGTAGTATCCATTCCTAGGATCTCTGGCAAGCATAAACCAAAAGCTGATACTTTAATGAAGTGACTTTCAACCCTGGTTGCACACTGCAGTCACGTGGAGAATTTAGAAAATGTTGTTGCCTGGGTCTCACCCCAATTCCACTTTAATTGTTGTGAATGTAGCCTGGTGCTAGTGATATTCTCAATCTCCACAAGTGACTCTACTGTATAAACAAGGTTGAGAACTACAATGCATACAGTGAGATATTACTCAGCAATAAATTAGGCAAGAACATAAATGGCTCTCCAAAATATTACACTGACTTAAAAAAGCCAGACACAGTGGGGAGGGTATAGCTCAGTGGTAGAAGCACATGATTAGCATGCACGAGGTCCTGGATTCAATCCCCAGTACCTCCACACAAAAAAAGTGTTTCATATAATTTTTTAAAATAGCCAGACACAAAGGTGTACAGTATGTATGATTCCATTTATAAGAAACTCCTAGCAGGCAAAATGAATATACAGAGACTGAACACAGGTCAAGGTTTACATGGATCTGGGAAATGAAAAGATTAAGAGGGAATCATTTGGAGTATGGTATATGCTTTATATCTTGATCAAGGTGGGAGTTAGCTCTAAATCTTGATGTTTACATATATGTAATTTAAGATCAGAAGTTGGGTGAATCACTCAACGTGATTAGTTTAATAATCAGAGAGAGAAGACAGGTGGATCTGATTACCAGTAATTGTTTCTATTATGCTGTGTAATGAGTCATGGGAATAGTGCTTCCTCCCAAGCACCTGGAAAAACCCTCACCCAGCCTTTTATACAACTAAAGCATGAACATGAAAGTATATATAGTCTGTATTCCAGCTACTTATTTATGAACACAGTTGGTATTTTCCCGTGTTCCTTTACCTTGACTTCTTTGTATTTACATACCAAAACATAAACTTTCCTTAATATTTCCTTTTAAGTAATCATACTATAATATGCAGTTTTAAAAATTATGGTGAAAAACAAATAACATAAAATTCACTATCATAACCAATTTTAAATGTACAGTTTAGTATTGTTAAGTATATTCACATTGTTGTAAAACCAATCTTCAGAACTTTTCCATCCTGCAATTCTGAAACTCTATACATTAAATAGCAATTCCCCTTTGCTCCTTCCTCCCAGGCCCTGGTAAGCACATTCTACTGTCCATTTCTATAAATTTGCCTACTTTAGATACCTCTTATAAGTAGAATCATACAGTATTTGTCATCTCATGACTGGCTTATTTCATTTAGTATAATGTTCTCAAGGTTTATCCTTGCTGTAGCATATGACAGAATTTCCTTCCTTTAAAAAGCTAAATAATATTCTACTGCTTGTATGTACCATAATTTGTTCATCCATTTATCCATCGATGGACATTTTAATTGCTTCTACATCTTGGCTGTTGTGAATAGTGCTGCTATGTACATGGATGTGCAAATATATCTTAGAGACTCTACTTTAAATTTTTTTGGAAATATACCCAGCAGTTATAGTTATGATGGTGAATAAGAGATAAAGAGAGGCATTGCATAATGATAAAAGGATCAGTCCACGACAG